CCAAGAAAGGTGCTTTTGCAGCTGAATTTGGGAAATTTTGTGCCTAAATTTTGTCTGAATTGTTGGTGTCTGTGAACATTAGTTTTGTTTTTTATGCCTTCATCTTTGGTTGAAAAGCTTAAGGACAAAACCTGTAAATAATGGTAAACTTAAAACCAGACAATCTGGGCATGGTGGCGCACACCTGTAATCCTAGTGGCTCAGGAGGCTGGGGCAGGAGGATCACAAGTTTGAGGCCAGCCTCAGAAACTTAGTGAGACCCTGAAGCAGGGCTGGAAGTGAAGAGACAGTGGGAGATTCACATGGCACTCTTTGGGTCATCTGTGGCCACCTCTTGCTCCCTTATCACCATCTCTCAGTCAGAGCCTCTGTCCATTCCTGTTCCCACATGCCAGGCCCTATTGCCCAACTCAAACCTCCAAGTCTCTTTGAGCACTATCCCCTCACCCTTCCCGCAATCCATCTTAAAGTCCTATTTGCCCCTACTTCCTATTCTTCCTACCTTTCCTGTCCTTCATGTAGCAGCCCAAGATGCCTCTCTTCTCACCTGTCATCACAAAATGGCCCCAAGTAGTCTCTACTCTTCCAACTGCCTCCATTCCTTCATTCGCAGTGGCCTCAACTCTGTGGCCACCTTCACCTTCAGACTGACCTTTCAATCATGTCCTTCTCTGCTCAGATCCTTTGGGAAAAGGTAAACCCCATGGCTATAGTTCTTTTATGAGCTGCAATTTACTTTTCTGAGAATACATTCCATTAATTTTCTGTCTATTCTCCAAATTTCAGCCAAACCACTCCTTCCCTCTAATCACACCCAAATCACCCAATTCTGCTTCCTCCTCTAGCAAATCTTCTCCACTCCACAGATTCCTCTCAATCCTTCAACTCCAGGATTTAAAATGACCTTTTCTAAATACAAAGGTAAACTCTTCTGATACCCCTAACTGCTGCCCTGACTGTGCCGCCACCTGGGGCTCAGACTGGCCACACAATCGGGTGTCGTTCGACCTCCAGGCATGGCAGAAAGAGCTTGGAACCCCTTCCCCAGGCTCTAGGAAACCAAAGAAGAGATTAAGTATTGGAATTATAACCCAGGACTGCATTTAACACAGATGAGGTGGCCGGGAGGAGCTAGAGAGAGGAGGACCCACCAAGAAGCTGTTGAGTCTACCCGAGAGAGAAGAGATGGGCGGTTCTGGGAGCTGGGGGATGCAGCAGGGCACCTGGCTGTAGGGTGCCCAGTCTGCTCCTGTGTGACCCTAAGAGCAAGTGCAGCTCTGCACCACAGGGGCTAAGCCTGTCTCAACCTGCATCCCAAGAGAGCAGGAGTAGAGATGCTACCTTGACAGCCAAGGAGGTGCATGGCGCAGGCCTCCCCTCAAGAAAGAACCAGCTGTCCTGCTGGAGGAGGAGCACTAAGCTGACAGCTTTGCAGGACGCGCTCATTGGTGGAGCAGCACCTCCGCCTCCTGGGAACCCAGGCAGTGCCCAGCGGGCAGAGCCCTGGCACTCCTGCTGCTGTAACAGGCAGTGTCGCTGCAAAGGTCATCGCGGGTTTGGACGGGACCTTGTCAGACCCACCTTGCAGTCCAGGGCTTTCCCTGTCTTTAATTCCCACCTTTCATCCTTAGTCTCCTAGAAACTTTACTAATTCTGTCTTAGTGTCTTCTCTCAGAGAACCAAGATTACAGCCCAGTTAGCAGCCACCTGGGTCTGGACCTGGGGCTGGCGATGCAGGGATTGGCGGCTCAGTGAGGCCCAGGTTCCAGGGGACAGGTGGCCCCAGTTCCCAGCAGCACACAATAGGCAGGCCCCTGGTTCCCAGCCACTCAGCTTCTTCCTCAGCAGGATGCAAGTGAGAATGTAAGAGAGGACCAGGGGATTTCCATGAGGTACTCAGAACAGGGCCCTCCCAGAGCTGCCCACAGAAAATGCTCTAGAAATATTCACTAAAATGATGGCACAGAAGTGTTGTTTCAGAAGTCCTTTCAGTTATAAAATAGAAGAAATGCTCACTTGCTCAAAGAATTTTCCATAGTATTTAATAAGGCTGATGAAAATTAATTGGGGGGCCTTTGAAACTCACCCTGCAATTTGTTCCTCATCTCTGGACCTGGTCCCCTGTGTGGCACCTTTTCCCCATGCAAGTCATCCCTCCTGTCTCCTGCTGGGTTTGTTTCTTCCCATTTGACATTTCCACCCACCACTGTGCCCATCCCTCTCCCCGCCATCAGTCCTGCTAGAGATCTCCTTCATGATGGGGGTAGGTCTGTCTTCTCCAGCAGTGCTCCTGACCAGCCTGCCCTCCTCACACAACTGTAAACCCCAGAGATGGTGTCACTTTGAAACCAGGCAGAACAGAAAAGGAAAGAATGTAAGTTTCAAACCAAGCCAAAGGCAGCTGAGCCTCTGCAAACCATCATTAATGGTGAAATAGGAGGGACAGCGTCCCCTTTTGTCCCAAGGCTGAGATAGGTCCGAAATATAAGGCTTAGTAAATGCCCACTTAAATGACTGTTTTCAGCTCTGGATGCATGGTCAGCCCTCAAATTATATCTTTATATCCTCAATCTATCTGTGAACCACAAAGACTAGAATGTTTGCTAAGACAACTTAAGTCACCTAACAGGGAAACATGTGGGAAAGTGTTTGACAATTATTTTAGGTATGAAAGTGACGTAAGTCCATTTTATATAATAAAGTCCTGGTCTATACTGCATCTATAAACCAGTGGGAAATCATAATTAGAGACAGATGGTAAATGTGACATTCTTTCTTTTCACTATTTAGTGCATATAATATTTCTTATAAAATAGCGCTGAATGTTTTCCTGCCACCCCACAGTACTAGGTAAGCTCAGAAAAATAAAACCTCTTTTTACACCTATGAAACCAACTTCAAATAAAATAGCCAACTTCAGAAGGAAGGCAAAGTGTTTTGTAATGTGCTTGAACACAAGAAATGCTTTTAAGTATCTTAATGCACATGCATATCTATATGCATTAATGCACTTGTAACATGTACAAAAAAATGTTACTAAATCTTCAGCCATCTACCCACTCAATTTGAAACCATGATCAAGATATTTACACTCAAAGGCAAGATTCCGACATTGCATAAGAAATACTATGAGGTGTGCTTATGATATTGGAAATGAATAGTACCTAAAGCAGAAATCAGTTATGCACAGAGCAAGATACATGTGTAATATGAATGGCTGCACAGGTTCTCCAGGGCTCCAAACACAGCAGCTTCTCCAGGAGCCACCCTATAGCTGGACACGCACCTTCTGTGAACCTCTTAGTGATTGTGAATTGAATGTGCTTGAGAAAAATCAGCATTAAGAGTCATGCAGTTTTTCAAAATACACAGTTCTCTACAAACACACAGCTCTGGATGTGGTACAACATGAGCTCTTGCACAATTAAAAGGAAAAGGAGTTTACACACTGACTTTTAAAAATACTCAGTTTTATTGCCACAACTCACTGAAGTTTGCAATCCTCCTCAATTCAAAGCAAATCAAAATCAATAGTTTTATAATCAATACCATGAAGCAAAAGTAATGATTAGCCAATATAAAATAATTAGCCTATTTACTGCCTCACTTTAAATATAGCAAAGGAGTGCTAGACAACATCCATATTAACCTAATCTGCTCCACTTAGAAATTAGTATTTACGATGCTTGCATTTTCAAATATCAACACCCCTATACATTTAGAAAAATCACTTGTGAAAATCTATTTCATTTAATTTCTTAGAAAACTGCTCATTCAACCTACTTTGTGGACTCTGTCTCACCACATTGTTTTCTCATCTTTGCAACAATTAATAATCATTGATCTCAACAGGCAAGAGCACAATGCAAGGCAAGATCATTGCTGCATCTCAGGACAAGAAGGCGAGTTTCTGTCACACAGGTGAGCAGCACTTGAGCCTAGTCACTTCTCCGGAGCACACAGCACATTGCAGTCACAACAGGCACACATGGCACTTAGAAACACACATACACATTCTTCCAAAGAAGTCTTTTAAATAAAGCAGTGCAAGCATCTTTGCACATTAAGCATTTGAAATAGCAATTAAGTCTGAATCTTCCATCAGTCATCTCCAGCTAGAAGCGCAAGTCTCAAGGATGTAAATCTCTCCAAGACCAGGGAGGCTGAGTGCGCTATTAATTGCTAAGTAATTTCTTAATTCTAGAATCTAGCACCTAACACTGGCAAGTAAGTCCTGTGATTTATGAGCCTGCACTCTCAAGCTGCTCTGTGGGACTTCAGTAAACACATGTGCATCCTGACACAGTGTGGATGTGGTTCCCACAAGCCGGGGGACACAGCTGGCTTCAGCTTCAGCAGATCTGCCCCATCTACCTACATTTAATCATCTAGAATACCTACATTACAGCTTATGTCCCCTGGGGTGACTCTGAAGCAGAGCCATGTCTCTTCCCCTGGGTGATCACTGAGTTTTAAGAAGGCAGGTGTTATGGGGCAGAGATTTTCTGGCAGCAGGAAGGCAACTCTTTTCTCCAAATTCACAAAATCAGTCACCACCACCACCCCCTCCCATCGCCTCCAAATCATCATCATATTTTTAAGAAAGAAAGATTTTTTAAAATAGGTGTCTAAAACATAGCATTTGCATTAATTTAAAATAATGTGGTTTTCCTGTATTTGCTGCTGACATGTAAGACATTTACAGATCAGATTAGAAAACCTGGTGTACAGGAAAAGTATTGCTTTCAATGAGATTTCGTTAATGAATCTGTGCACATGTATGTGTACATAAACAATACATATTTACACACATGCTGACATGATCAAGGACGCATGCCACACGCACCTGACCAGTAATCACCCCCGCTGCCCTGTAATCTCGCCTTGACATTTTTTTTTATTTGCAGGCACGCTATTCAAAAGACTGATTTTTAAAAAATAATCATCAGCTGCATAAAACGCATACTGAGGTGGCATGTTTAAAGAAGCAAATACGTTACCAGACGCATTTTGAAGTTTCTGGAACACCTGCAGGTAACAGGAGAGGAGAATCAAAAGCTGCCACACGTCGTCCTCTGAATCACCGAGCTGGATGTGACTGTGGGGGAATGCCAGGCGAGGGAGAGGCTGGGAACCTCTGAGTCGAGCTCACTCCAGGAATCAGAAAGCCTCGAAGACGGGAGAGGAAAAGACAGCCACCGACAGCGGGATGAGAAACTTCTGGCACCTGTCCAGCTCAGGAATGGATTCTCTGTAATTTGGAGACGCACAGTGATGGAAATGAGGAGAGGCTGGGATTTACCGGTGAATTTGCTCAGCCATGCAGAAATGGGCAGGTAGCAGTCTAGAGCTCGCTTCCAAACAGGCGTTCAGGAGCAGGACTGCATCAAAAATTAACAGAAATCCTTGTTTGAAAAAAATGGAAAGGCTCCTCCAGCCAGCTTCCCAGATGCCTTTCCAAACTTCAAATGGATCATTCTGTCAGCTATTTGTTGCCCATTTTATTAATCCCACTGCAGAGGTAAACTGGAAAATCTAATTCCTTTTATGTAGGACTCTAAATTTATTGCTCCTTTTTATAATGCACCTTAGACATATAAATACATGGATTTACTTACAGAGCTCTCGTTCTCATGTAAAACCACCACTGTTTGGTCCAGAAAAAAATGTGAAAAGGCTTGCACACGGCTCTTCAAGGAAGCAGAGGGGGAAAAAAAATGTCTTAATACTCAAAGCTGAACTGAGTATTGATATTTAAGTGTAGAGTTTGAAGCAAGGAGAGTAAAAAGGGAGAGCCGTGAGTCATCAGGTGGCACTAAGAGAAGTGGTGTCATACAAGCGCTGAGCAGGCAGAAGGGGGCTCGGTCATTAAATATATACATAATTAAGGATAGGATGAAAGAGCTCTAGCAAATTAAGCTCCCCAGACAATAGCTCTGTTGAGACTTGCAAATAGGCTCATGATATCCATGTGAGCTTCACCTTTCCTGAAGAACTTCAAACCACAGAGAGCAGGAGGGTGTGCATCGTGCCTGCAGTCTGTTCAGTGTAATGAGAAGGACAGTGTCACCGTGAGGAACACTGGACTATCACAAGTGTGTGGCTTCACCACCACGCGGCCTTGCAAATGCCCTCTGGCCTGAACCCAGCAGCAAGTGTGCAGTCTTTGGCAGGCAGGAGGGGAGCCCTCTCATCTGCTTCGCCACAGATCACCTGTGGGAGGCTGGGGCTAAAATGCTTGGGCGGAACCTGGGAGTGATTCTCTCCAAGGCCACGTTTATCTACAGTAAATCAGAAGTGGAATTAATGAGGACTAATTAAGCTGTTTATTAGTTTAACTCCTGAGGTCAAGGGCAGCGCAGTGTCTGTGTTTATTGACAGGGAGTTGATGGCCAGACTGCTGGAGAAAGCCAGGTCACCTCCAGGCCCGATCGATATGCATATCGCCTATCGCCTATCACCCGAGGCCCCGCCAGGTTTCGTGTTCCAGCACCTGGGCCTCCTAGTCCAGGCTCCTCTTGCTTCCCCCTGCATTTGCTTCTCCCCTTCACTCAGGAGGTATCTACTGACTGAGTTAGACACTGATGCTGTGGAGGGCACAGTGCCAGGGTCTGGTAGTGCCACAGTAGGCTCCCGGAGCAGAAGCAGAACCTCTCTCGGGAATGCCCACACCCGCTGCCAGCCCACGCTGCGTGCTTGGAAGCCATGTGGTGCCTGGGCAAGCAGAGTTTGCACATGTGCACTGGAAAAGTTCTAGTACTGACCAACTCCTCTTCCTGACCCTGCAGGGGCAGCTGCAAAGCAAGACACTGCCACCAAGCCCTGAGGCCATCAAGGGATGAGCAAAGCCCCTGCCCCGCCTTCAGAGTCCAGCCACTCAGCAGCTCAGTCTAGCTCAGGAAAGGCCGTGCTTCACCGGTTTGACCCAGAACCTGGGTCTGTGAGGTGCTGAGTGGGTTTGGAAGACAATGCTAAAGGCAGAGGAAAGTCAGGCCCCTGGGCTTGTTCTCTGAAGCTCTTTGGGCCTCAGTTTTCTGTGGAGTGAGAAGGCAGGGCAGGTCGAAGTCTATGATTACTCTGCCAAACACACAGGAACACCTTCTCCCGCAAAGCTAAGTACCTGGAAGCCATGTGGTGCCTGGGCAAGCAGAGTTTGCACATGTGCGCAACCACGGTGATCAAAATAGCCAACAAGAACAGCTGAGAGGAAATGCTTATGTGGGACTCATGGTTTCAGAGGGTCAGTCCATGGTCCGCCCACTCCTTTGTCTGGGCTCATGTGAGGCAGCACATCATGGGGAAGGTGTGGTGGAGGACAGCGGCTCAGCTCATGGGAATCAGGAAGCAGAGAGATAGGGTCCATAGAAACATGGACCCTTCCAGGGCAGCCCCCAGTGGCCCCCTCCTCCAGCTACACCCCACCTTCCTATAGTTAGCACCCAATCAATCCACTCCAACACCTCACATCCAAGCCACAAGGTACATGACCCCTGTGCAAGGGCAAACCTGAATGCAGAATCCCTAACCTCTGACCCCTTATTAATTAAAGTCACCTATCTGCCAATCAAACCCTGTGGAGATGAGCCTCCCGCCCGGACGCCAATCCCAGGGCTTCAACAACTGCCTCGGCCCCAGACCCCACAGGAGCCTCAGATGGGGACCTCAAGAGATGTCAAATGGGCGTGGGTTGTGGTGGTCACAAGAACACTCTCCCAGGCCCTACTCCTCAGTCTCTGGTGGTGAAGAGACACCCCAGGTCATTCCTCAGGGAAGCGGGGGAGGGTGTGGCCAGGCAGTCCTGGGGTGGCCAGTGCACCTCCACTCCACCTCAGCACAGGCCAGTCTGTGTCCTGCAAGCTCACCCACCTTCACCCTCACAGAAAGAACCCACTCTTGATGGTGAGTTGAAGACAGAGCTCAGGCAACCAAGTATTATAATGATCCTACTTAAAAACAAACGTTTTCTCCTTCCTTTCATTCTCTGTTAAGAGCACCAGAAAAACCTGACCTTGAAGTACAAAGTCATAAGGAAAAGCAGAAATATTCAGATGTTCCATGCATAGATACTGGAGACAGAGCATAGTTGGAAGGTAGGATTCCCTGTTTATTTAATTATTTCCTCAAAATTTCCTCATACTGTTTCCTCTTCTATAGAAAAACAAACAAACAAACAAAAACCTACTTTATCAGGTTATTTTGAGAGATAAAACCTGAAAAATGCCTGGCACATTGCAAGTCCTCAAGACAGTGACTCATGATGAGAGTCTACTTGCCTTGAAGGCCCTCACTTGCCCACACACCCCTTGCTGACAGGGACTGGTCACATTTGTATCCCTTGTACCCAGCATGCCACAGGTCTCCACAGATGCTCTCGAGTTCTCACTGAGCAGCTGCTCCCATCACATTCTGGGCTAGGTGGCAAGGACTCGGCAGGAACTAAACAAGGGTGACTCCTGTCCCCACAAGGGTCGCACTCCAGTGCCTTAGTAACTAAACAAGGCAGATGAGCTCTCTCGTTAGCAACGATCTCGTTAGATTTGTGTTCATGACAACCCTGACGAGGTCAAGGACACTGTGAAAAAGCCTGGGCCTGCTCTGGATAATCACCTGCAGACACAGGGATGGGCTGAGGACCTGCCTCACTGAGTAGCAGGCCACTCCCCAGGGGGCATCCCCAGAGACTAACAGGCTGCTCAGGCAGACCTGGCCCTGTCCACATATTCCCTGCCACCCGCCAGCAAATGCTCTGGCTTCTGGCCTTCTTTTCCACGTTCAAGCTGTCTGAAATGCAATAACGCTTTTTAAAGAGCAATTGGGATTTTAATTAAAGTTCCAGGGACCCAGCCAAGAATATTTTTCTAAAAGAGAAGCAATATCTGTTTTTGGAGACAGAACATTTCATAACAGAGATCTCATGTACTGTGACAAGTGACAACCAGTGGCACAAGCTGTGCCCTCCCAGAGTATGTGTGCACAAGTGAATATGCAAGTGCATGTGCACATTCATGGACGTGTGTGTGCATGTGGGGGTGCACATGTGTACATGTGCCAGTAAATGTGCATGTGTGTATATTAATATATGTGCCTTTGAGCACCAATGAGCCCATGTGTGCATGTAGTGAGCACGTATGTGCATATGTGTACATGTGCAAGTATATATGCATGTGTGTGCACATCTGTGTGCACATACTCCTGTGTTTAATGCTCTTCCCGCACAGTGAGAACAGAGACAGGACAAAAACAGACTCCGCTCCCTTAAACATCAGGTACCAGAGGCAGACAGCTAATGGAACAGCGCAGTCTCTTCAGGTAGGAGATTGCCTTTGTTCTCCCCATCCAGCCCTTTGATTTAAAAGGCTTTCACCATTAGACTCCCAGCGAGCAGCCTTGATCAGAGTTGCTGGTCGGCAGGTCCACACTCACCATCTGGGACCCTGCAGCTCCATGCCATCCATGCGCAAGGTAAGTGGGCTTAAAGTCAAATGCAGCCCTAGTCTCGCAGCTGGCAGTTTGGCAAGATCAGTCTACCTGCGAGTTCTGTTTTTTGTAAATTCATGCTAGCTGCTTGGCCGATCCCTGATAAGTCTCGAGGGCAATTGAAAGTGAGCTCCTGAGTCAGCAGGTCCATCCATGAATCCAGGGGACACACCTGCGTCAGCCATATGCACACTCCACAGATGGATAGGGCATATCAACATCCACACTGGCCCATCTACACCTTCAGGGGTATAGACAGGACATGCCCATAGCCAGGTCAGCCCATCTGGGAGCCCTTGATGCTGGAAGGTGGAGGCATCAGAGAGAGACCTGTTCAGAGCTGACAGTACACCTCAGGCAGAAGGGCTGAAGCTGGAGCCCTATGCCTGTCCATTGCAGAGATTGTGGGCTTCTGTGGGGCCAGCAATCACAGATGATTCCCCAGCACTGCTGGTAAGGGCAGAGGTTGCCAATGTACCCTGAAGCCTCAACCAGGGTATTCTGGCCACTACCAAGTCAAAGCCTGGGAACCAAGAGCAGGCAGTGGTGTTCAGTCCCATCCCAGTTCTCTGACATCATGATGTCATTTCTCTGGACCCAAAGGGCAAAGGATAAGGAAGTAATCCTATGAGACAGTATAGACGTCTCATTCTAAACCATTATTCATATTCAGGAAAATGGATCTAATACACCCTCCCACCACAAACCATCAAAAACCCGCCAAATTATTTCCAGCCTGGCTTTTTATGCCAATTCTAGCTGGTGATGGTGGATATTAAAATCACAAGATAACATGATGCACAACACGTGTGTGGGGTATATGATAACAATGTGCTAACACCACCCACAGGACCACCCAGCATGGAGGGTGAGCCTCCAGGAGCCAGCCAATCACCAATTCAGTTGAAAAGGAACGTCTATGGGACTTGCTGATTCTCAGCTAGTACAGAGGAAGGAGGCTTCCGCAGCAGGGCTCCTGTGCCCTCTGTGTCGGGACGAGCACGAAATTGGGGTTTCATTTGTCACCCGACACCACAACCTTAGCCTTAGATCTCCCATAAGCGTAGACAGGCCCAGAATGGGGAGGAGTGGTGTTCTCTCTGCTGCATGGAGCTGCTGTAGAAAACCACTGTGTACCAACTTCAATGTCAAGTGGAAATGGCAACCAAGGTGTTGCGGCCACCCTTCCCAAGCTCAGCCCCAACAAACACTGTGGCTTCACCAACACGTCATTTTAGCAAAAGGGGAAATGGTCTGGAAGACTCCAAGAGGAGTCTGTGTGGAGGAGAGAAGAAAACACCATCCATGCCTGGAAGCCAGCCAGATGGGGTGCTGTCCTTCCATTACTCTCTGGACTCTGGAAGAGCTGTGCAGGTGGACTCTCAGAGTCCTTGCTCAACTAAGCCAAAACCTCTAGAGCAGTCACACTGGCTCACTGGGAATTCCTCCAGTCGGC